AATGATCATGAGGTTACATCCCACAAGGAAGCCAAAGTGTGACATTTCCAATCAACCACATCAGGCCGACACAGGTGAGACAGTGAACAAGGCCTTCAAAGAGGTGTGATCAGGTAGCAGCATTTGGATCTTGGGAGCCACAAGCTCATGAGAGTTGTATGCAGATAATAAAGGTCAGAACTGAGCAAATCATTGGTGTGTTACTGGTTTCAGCAGTTAATTTGGAAAGGTTTACAGCTCCCAACATCCACCCCAGTCCTATAGAAACTTTATTAAATTTTTAAATATCTAAACCTGAAAAGAGTTGCTATTCTACCAGGTCAATAGGGTTACTCTAAGGGAGCCATGGTTTCATAATGAGATTCCACCTCTTAAGTCTTACATGTTCTTAGGGCTTAAATTTCAACAAATAGATTTTCAGTAGAAATCCTCATAGTGACTGTTAAAAAACTGCTTCATGATTTTTTTCCCACTCAAAATATGATAAAACAGTACAGAAAGAAAAAGAAGAAAGTCCTGTCTAAAGTAATCATCATAAGTTAAGATAATTATCTTAGCGTGAAGTTTCAGCAAAGGTTACCTCAAATGGGTGAAATGTGCCAAAGCATTAGAAATGAGAGGATTATAGCAAGTAGTAATTGGGAAATTTTTTTTCTTTTGGAAGGCACAAAGCAGGGAAACCTCTGCACAGTGGCTGTTCATGTTTAAATCGAGCTTACGATTGCACGTCTCGTATAGTCTTCATTTTAACATTTTTTTAAACTGTATATTGTGCAGCGAGGGATAATCATCCATATGGAAGGCACTCTACACTCTCACCTCTCACTTACTCCCCAATTCAATCTAGTCATCAGGTTTCAGGGCTTCGATTTCCTAAACATTCATGGAATCCTTTCTCTCCTCTTCTCTGCCTCCCAATAAGTCATTGTCCACTAATCTGGCAGAATGAAGAGACTCCATAACGTTTGCTGAGTAGATGAGAGAACGTGAGCAAGGCAGTCTGCTGCAGTATAAACAGCTCTGGGTGGAAATGAAGCCCACAGTGATCTGTTCTTTACCAGGAAGCTAGCTGGAAGATCTTTATGTTAGCCTCTTACAGACTTGGTTTTCTTGCCTGCAAAATAAGTAGATTGGATTCTATTTCACAAAAACCCTCTGGGTCAAAAAACTGTATATGCAACTAAGTATTAAGAAATAATTACTACTTTCTTTATTACATTCATTTCATTCATGGCGGTGGTGGGTTTTTTTTGTTTTTTGTTTTTGTTTTTTTTTTAAGAAATAGTTCTCTTCTGCTGAGTCTGATCAAATTTCTTTGTTTTCTTGTCAGTCTTCTATGCCTAGAAATAGTTGACCTTCAGCATCTCTCTTTGCTTATTGTTCCATACATGGTTCTCAAATCCTTGAAGGTTCTATGTATCATTCAGCTTTGTACCTTGTTGCCCAAAATAGTGCTTAGCAGGAGGCAGATATGCAATATATACATATTTCATGAATGTTGCCATCTAGTGGCAGCCATTTAGAATTGCAGGCATAATGACAGGAATAAATCTAACACCTCTAGGGCACGGCTAGAAAATGAAGCTGATTTATATGTGGGTTAACACTGCTTTTCCAAATATTACTATGAAGTTAATCATATTCTTGTATATTACACAAAAAGTTTCTAAAAACTTTACTAAATGTGAGTGACTGCATTTAGACTTTGACAGCATGTTATGTTTTTTAAGGCTGTACTGGTAGGATATATGATATTTGGAATCCATACAGTATACAGACCACATCAAGTAATATAATTCAGAAAATCTTCACTCAGATTTCTGTTTTCTGAAACAAAATACAAACATATATATATGTATATATGTGTGTGTGTGTATATACACACATATATGTATGGATATATATATAGAGAGAGAGAACTGGAAAGTAACATTTAATTTCAGTTATTAATATTAGTCTTATTATATGCATTGAACTTTGCTGAACTCACTTTATAAATATAATATAAGAATTTGGCACTTGTTCAAAAAATGTGATCAGTGAAAATAAATACAAACCAATCGAGTCTCAAAGGGTACATTTTGGCTTGAATTTCTTTCTTAATCAATCAAATAATTTACTATTGAACTCCAGTGAACAAATGTGTTATTGTGTGGATCAGCCTATCATTCTCAACACCTTCAAGACCATTTTTTACTCTTGTTTTTGTATATCTCTTTGATGTCTAGGCAATGTAAATATTTCTTGACGTCTCCCACTAAATCATCAAAATTTAGCCACACAAGATGGAATTGGAATGATCCCAATTTAATAGAAGTTGAATGCAGTCTCATGCTTTCTTGGTTCTGGTATGGTTTTTGGGAACCTTTTCACAGGGACCTCAGAGTACCTGTATACTCCTTAAAACTGCTATTTCAACATTAAAGATTTCTTTTTGTTTATACTATGTGCTAATTTTGTCAAAGGAGTTGTATTAGGTAAGAGTAGGTCAAGCAGCGTGTCACACACACACAAACAAAAATAACAGGTTTTTGGAATAAATTTGAATAGATTATTTCTGTCTCATATAAAGGAAATTCAGAGATCAAGGTTAATCTGTTCCCGACTCTAGCGGCTGCACCTGGCATTGAAGGATTCCTGGGGTGCTCGAATACATAGGCCTACAGTCTATACGTACAGTAATTTTAATTTTAATTGTAATACAGGGGTGTCTAATTGACCCAGACAACCGAACACACGCTGTATCATTTTCACTGTCTCAATCAACTTTTTAATGAATATATTTGAAACAACCATGATAGAGTGAAGCCACGGAAGTCAAGGCACGAAGTGGCGAGGGATGACTGTAGGCAACTCGGGGCTGATATAGCATCTTCATGTACATGTTAGGGATGCACACTTCATCAAACTCACGCCTCCCCCATCCCGAGGCAGATTGTCTGCATGGTCTGACATGGGGACTAGAGCTCAGCCATTAATGTCCACATTTCAGAAAGCAGGAGGGTGAGCAGATGAGGAAGAAGGGATCAAAAGCCCACTCCACCCATCTTTTAAGAAGTTTTATTGAGTGATGTCACAAAATATTTTACTTACAACTACTTTCTAAAACTTTACCACATTTAAAAAATATATACTAGTTTTAAGAGTATCTGGAAGATGACCCTGGTCGGGTAGCCCCGTTGGTTAGAACATCATCCCAATTCACCAAGGTTGCAGTTTCGATGCCCAGTCAGGGTATATACAAGAATCAACCAGTGAATGTATAGATAAGTGGAAAACAAATCTCTCTCTCTTTCTCTCTCGCTCTTTCTCAAATCAATAAATTTTCAAAAGTATCTATAATATATATTATTTATTTTAGGTACATGTACCCAATTAACCCTCAAGAATTCTTTCATGAAAGAAAATGTAGAGGACAGATATTGAGGTTGCTACTTATCTCTGCCACAGGAGTAGAGCCAGTAAATCAGAGAAATTTATTCATTTACAGAAACATTAGTTTCTAATTTTATTATTTTGACCATAACAGAGAAATTACCTACAAAGCCCCAAGAAAGAGGATATGTAGAGTGAAGTTATTAGAGAGAAGGACTAGCATGAAACAGGCAAAGTAAACATCTTTGGCGTATCTGAATTTTACGGCATATATTTGCAAGTAATATAGGCTTATTGGGAAAATCATATAGATTGGTGTTTCAACCTCCATTAACATTTTACATGTGGAATTGTAACAATAGTAATAATTTAATCACTTGACATTATAACTCTCATTTGATATATATGTGTGTGTACATGTATGTAGCTAGACATCGATACAGACACTGACACACAGATACAGATGAAACAGATAAAAGTATCGCTATTCCTGGGGACTTACTGTTATTAATGGAAGCTGTGGAACTATATACTCTTAATTTTGAAAACCATATCACTTGAGTTTGTTTTTATATTCTTACCATTCTGCAATGATTTATTAAAGCAACATAGAGGGAAGCTAATCCTTTTAGATTAAGCAAGTCAGAATTTTACTAAATTATATACCTTTAAGTTTAAAATAAAACATTGGTACTGAAAGTTTATGAACCTGAAAATAGAATAGTCTGAAGAAGAATTTTGCCAAGTTTTCTTTTTTTTTTTTTTGGTTCAATATTGTTTAATATAATAACTTGTATGGCTCTTATATTATTTAATATAATCATTGCTAGATTATATTATACTGCCTGTTGAAAATTTACATTTTGATAAAGATTTCCCCCATTACTTTCCAAAATGGTGCATAAATAAACTTCTACAAATGATGTTCTCTACACAGAATGATAATGTTGACTCTTTCATGCAGCATTTTCTTTTTCTATGATTTCCTTGCATGAGAAAAAACGTTCTGGAGAAAAACATTAACATTGATAAAATAGAGGTTTTGTTTACATTCCTGAATTTAATGGGACTCTGTCACAACTGTGCTCTGTATAATTTTTAAAAAAGCTTTTGCTTCCTTTGTTTTGTTAAGACAAAAAATTCTAGTTCTACTTTATGAAGAGTTTTAATGAGGATGAATGTTAAATTTTATTTAATATTTTGACATTTATCAAGTTGTCCTCATTAGACACATTTACTCTACAGAAAATAAATTCTTTGATGTTTAAGTACATAGCAGAATGTGTTGTTGTTTTTGTTGTTTTTGTTATTATTATTATTATTATTTCAGAGAGCATATCTGGAGAATTGTGTTTTGTACAACTACTTGAATGTTTAAAGCTAGAATCTAAATGATGGGTTTACTGTTCTGGAAGAGAATTCCCTAAAGATTTAAACTTTTATTTATTCATTGAAATACACAAGACTATTTAACCAAACCAGGGAGTGTTTATTTTTTTTTAACATTGTTCTTAAGAAAATTCGTAAAAAAAAAAACTTGTCATATAGGCATTGAGCTGTATTTGAAAGTCTGAAGAATCCTTATGAGACTTTGCAATAAATGTACTTCCGTTTTTCCTTTTTAGGGGGACGGCAATCGCCGGCATCGTCTTTGGAATCGTGTTTATCATGGGGGTCATCGCGGGCATCGCCATATGCATCTGCATGTGCGTGAAGAACAACCGCGGGACCCGCGTGGGCGTCATCAGCTCCGCCCGCATCAATGCCATAGCCTCCTACCCTGGTGAGCAAGACTGCTCCCTTCTCAAGGGAGAGTCAGAACTGTCACCTACACTGGCCTCCTTGGAGAGAGGAAACATTACAGAATCTCACTGGAGTAATCTCCAAGTATGTAGTGTGTTTCTAAATTAACGTAGATAGATAATCTAACTCTCATTGGAGATTACTTAGATCCTAATAATAAACACCCACCCAATATTTGAAGATATTCATATTTTTAATGGTTATCTCATTGACTACAATCAGCCAGAGTTAAGAGAAGTAAACAATTCATACCTACTGTGTCTATCTGCCACTAATTCTGACAAATAATTATGGAGAAAGTCTAAATTATGGGCCTGAATAAACTGGCACCTAACTGATAGGTATGTATGTTTTGAGAAAAAGTATTGAAAGTTTTTATGTGTCCTCTTTATGCAAATAAAACAGTTTTCACACAATAGTAAATTCTCAACAAAGAGCAAAAGTAACATCATTTGACAAGTATTTATCGAAAATCTGATAGAAGTTTCGCATATAAATATCTTGAACATACATGACTCCATTAACTGTATTTTTCACCAGACGATTCAGACAGTGTTTTCTAAGTCAATCTGTATATGTACGATTTGACATATAAAAAGGAGTCAAGCTCTAAATTTAGCATATCCTTAGGAAGGTAACTTCTTATCCATACGCATGTCCTCTCTCAGTCTCTATAGAAAGAACTAGTGTAACTTCTACATGCATTCGGCCTTTTGCATCAATTCCCTAGTCTTTCCTTCCTTGCTTAACCTTTTCCCTATCATCTTCACCTTGAGGAAGCAAATTTCAGATGAATGTGAGAATAACCACTTCTACCATTTCTCCTTTGCCAGTTTCTCCCCCTCTCCAGGACCTTCACGTTGCAGTACCTCTAGCCTTGTCTTCTGCATCTGCATCTACTCTTACTTCTTTGATTGTATCCTTTGGCCTCGTGGTACTTAGTAGCATTTACGTGCTAATGGTTCTCAAAGTTATGTATTCCACTCCAAACCTCTTTCCTGAATTTCAGATTTATTTGACTCATCTACCTATTAGATATCTTCACTTGGATGCTGGATACATATCTCAAATTTAACATGTCTAAAGTAGTGCTTCTGATGATCCCTCCAAACCCTCCTCCACCTACAGCATTTACCATCTCAGTTGATGGCATTTCTAGTCTCCAAGTTGCTCAGACTAAAAATCTTGGACTCATCCTTGACTCCTATCTTTCCTTCAAACCTACAGGCAATCTATCAGGAAAACTTCTCAGCTCCATCCTTAAAATAGATATGATATCTGACTACTTTTCACAGTGCCCATTGTTTCTTCCCTGCTGAAAGCCACCAAGCTCTCACTCTGTCACTGAGATAATCTTCTAACTGCTCTCCCAGAATCCACCCTTGGCCGCCAGGGTCTGTTCTCAACAGAATAGCTAGAGTGAACCTTTCAAAATAGCGGTCAATTCATATCACTACTCTGATTAAATTCGTCAATAGCTTCCCGTTTCCCCCACAGGATGAGTCAAAGCCAGTGGTTCCTATTTTATCTAAAGTAAAAGACAAATTCTTTTCCAGAGCCTTCAAAGCAATGCATGATCTAACTCCTCTTTCTATTTCTTACCCCTCATTTCCTTCTACTCTCCCTCTTGTCACTCTGGCTCCAGTCATACTTCTTCCCTTGCTGTTCCTTGAACAAACAGGACACATGCCCATTTTAGGGTTTTGTCTGGAACACTGTCTCCCTGATCACCCTACTTAAGATTGTAATGTGTCCCTCCCCACAGCTCCCAATCCTCCTTACCTTACTTTTTCTCCCACTGTTTTTAGTCTTCTAATATGCTGTATAGTTTACCTAATTGTTACATTTATTGTTTGTTGTTTATCCTCTCATTCCAGAATATTAGTTCTGTGAGTCAGGGATGTTTGTCTATTTTGTTCACTACTAAATACCAAACATATAAAATCGGGGCTGGCACATAATGGGCACTCAGCAGATGTGGGTAAAAGAATGGAGAACACAGCTCATGACAAGACCTGGTTTAGATGGCAATAGTTAGGGGATTTACCTTAGATTTCACCCTTGCTTGTGTAGCTTTTACTCACTGCAAAGGCAACTCACGATTTTGAATATTCCTGACTTAGTGAGAATATTGTTGGGGTTAGTGTAATGATGTTTGGACTAGAGTTTAAAGAAAAATAGGGGAATTATTTTTTATTCTTCACATCTCCCCATTATTACCTGGTCAACCCATCACCCAAGAGAACAGAGGAGAATCAGAGACATTAACTGGAGAGAAGGCAAAGAGAAATGCTCTGTAGATAACATTTCGGATACACTTTTGTTTGACCAAGAAAAGTTTAGTTAAAATTAATTTTTAAACATTTAAAAATAGTATTTATAAAATTAGAATAGAAGGTACGAAATATTTTTATGTGAAATCTTGTGTTGTTGTTGTTTTTTTGTTTGTTTGTTTTTGTTTGTTTGTTTTATCCTCACCTGAGGACATTCTTTCATTTTTTTGTTCAGATAGAGTGGGAGGGAGACAGAGGAGGAGAGAGAGAGAGAAACATCAACGTGAAAGGGACACATCGAGTGGCTGCCTTCCACACCACCCAACCAGGGCCGGGGACAAACTGCAACCAAGGCACATGCCCCTAGCGGGAACCGAACCCGGGTCTCCCTGCACCACAGACCAACGCTCCAACCGCTGAGCCAAACCGGCCAGGGCAATCTTGTGTTTTTTAGGGTTTGAATTTTCTATTTCATGCATAGAAACATGTTTTTTAAACTTTATAGTGACACCATTAATACTGGCAGATCACAGAGGCGTGTTGCAATTTTAGTAAATGCATGGTTCTGGGAACTGAATATAATGCAAGAAATATAATAAACCTTATGGTAAAAGCATTTTTACTGCAAAAAGACAAGGTCTTCAGAACATAATGTGCTTGATTACTTCTCATTTCCTTCTCAAATACACTAATTAAGCTTTTACTTAAAGGATAGGGAAACAACTCGGTAGAATCAAATGCTTTTCAAAATCTTTCATGTGTGGAAATATGAAATGTCTTTACCCACATTAATTAATTAACTCTGTAAAAGTAGAGATAGTCTGGAGGCCACATAAATGGGTAGAAAATAATTTAGCCAAGGTTATATTATCCCTTGGTGAAAGTGCTCAGTGGGGAACCCCACAGTGAACATAATTACTCTGCACTGCAGAGATTAGCAAGAAAAGGTAATCTGCCACCCCTGACCCTTTGTTTGGACAGTGACCTTCTAAAATAGGTTTTTATTCCTGTCATGTTGGGCAGGATGAATGGTATCCTGTTGAATTACAATTATTTTTAAAACCATATGTGAAAATAAGAATTATTTGTCCAGTCTTAGATTTCCACTGCTTGCCAGAAATTCAGTGTAAACAAAAAAAACTGATCCTTTTAGCCCCCTTTTAAGAAGTAGGTTTGGATCATACACACCTGAAAGAAAATGATACAGAAAGACCATAACAAAGAGCTTTGCAAAGATGCAAAAATCAAATGCCAATGAAAGGAAGACACACATTTTAATGCTAACAAGAGAGTTGAGATTTTAAGTGCACTAATGAGTATCCTGATGATTGATTGATAATAGATGATAGATAGATAGATAGATAGATAGATAGATAGATAGATAATAGATAGATAGACAGATAACCAGACATAAACAATGGAGAAGGATGGGGAGGCTCCTGCTAACAGAAAAATGCCAAAGGATGTATGTAAAAAGAAATTGTGAAGTTGGAAAACTTATCACTTTAAAACGTTATAGAGGTTTGGGACAGGAATCATCAATTGATGGTAAATCTGGGGGGAAAGATGGCTGAAGAGGATACGAGCAAGCTCTTAAAGTGTCGATTTTCAGATTCTTTTCTTTTTCACATAACTTTTATTGCAGTATATTTTTACAATTATTCTATTGCATTATCAGTTGTTAATTTATTACTGTGCCTAATTTATAAATTAGAATTTACCATGGGTATGTACGTATAAGAAAAGCTTCCTTCTTCACTTTTCTCCGCACCCTCCTCCACCTCCTCCTAATCCTTTTTCCTTCTCCTCTCCCTTGTCCTCCTTCGTGTACAGATTCCTGTTCATTTGAAAGTGGAGAAACCAGACAACATTTCGACCAGGGAATAAAAATTAGAAAGTGAAAACATATAGCATTTTACATGGCCACAAGGACTACATAAAGATAATATTTGCTAAATCGTGGTGACAAAATTATGATCTTTCTGTTTCTAAGTTTTCTCAAATAACGTTGTATAGTTTCGGTAACACCATGCATCTTCCCTTCACATTTGCTTCGGGAATGTTGGCCTGAGTGGGCGAAAAACATTACATTCCTTCTCTGAATTTCATAGCATCCTTAAACTTTCTAATATCGTAGACAACTATAATGACATTAAGGATAAATGGCATGCTTGCTCTACTTAAATCAGAAAGTTGGAATATTGGTAATGAAAAAATCTCTAAGACACCATATCTCTGTCTGCCTTCATATATCTTTTAAAGATGACTTAACCTTTAAGGAAGAGCAAATCCTGTTAGATTTAATCCCAAATTCTAAAAATTGATACCATGCAAAGTAACTTCCTAGTGAAACCTTATTATCTCCCAGAAAGAAAGATAGCACAGCCCACAGCTGTACACGTATTATTTCAAACTGTCTTCCAGGAGCTGGTACCATAAACAATGTGCCATGTCTATTTCATGATGGATGGTCCTCCAAATATTGCTCTCCAGCATTATATTATCTCTTCATCGAAATGCAAAGGCTATATGAATGCAAGAATACTGTTTCGTATGTTAGATTTTCATGTTCAACAGGCAGCTGTATAAACCATAGGGAATCTCACTGAAATGTCCTCCAGCCGTTTTTATGCAGATGGCAAAACATAAACGCTTTGTTACCGAGGCAAAACCACACGCTGCGGCTCGATGACAGAGAATGATGCAGGCGGTCTGTAGAACCCTTCAGTTTGTGCTCCTCACGTGGGAGGCAGGGGAAAGCTTCGGTATAAAAACAACTTAAAGCCACATGCTGAAAAGAAACAGTTCAATGAGGATCCAGCTATAACTTCCTATTTTACATGGAGGTTGCATTTCTTAGCCTGGAGGAAGTTTATTATGCATCTCCTTGTCTCAGTCCTCCTGGACATAATGAAGCAAAGGAGTGGGTGTAATGCTGAGGGAGCGTGTGTTTAGACTCCACAGGAGTTATTCTATTTTGTTGTAGAAAACGAGGCTTGGGACAGCCCAGCCTTCAAAGGTCACAGGCAGCTATGGGGAGGCTGTAGACATCAGTGCTGCTCGCTCTATGAAGCACTGTCCTCGGCCAGGAGCCCTTAGCCTGCTCAGACCACGAGAGACTTGCAAAGCCTTTGCTTATCAAAGAAGTCCTTGGAGGATAGCCCACTCAGTTCGGTGTCTCCATCTTCCTCTGAGGTGACTCCGTCTGCTTCTCATATCCCTGAGGATAGGCAGAGCTGTAAATGGTTCAAATCATCAAACTCCTGGTAAACTTAGCTAACTTAAAGGGACCCAGAAGAAACAGTTTGTGTTTGCAAAGAGGGTAAAAAGCCGAGTGTTTGTGCATGCATACCTCTCAGAACACTATCATAACGTTATTGGTACAAGTACATTTTAGAAGACATCTTAGAAACAAACCAGTTTGTTGAAATGTTGCTTGTTCTTTCTTCCCATTCTAATGGTAGGAGCCTGGCCTTTTGTTTTTGTTTTTGCACTGTTATGATACTAGTCTTGTGATTTGGTCTACATTCACTGTAAGCAAATAGACATGGCAATTCCAAGTAGAATCATGATCTTGATGATGATTAAAGTACTAGCAAGTCATCAGAGGGTTTGCTGAGGGTTTGCTCAGATGTTGCAGAACGACAGGGTTCTTAAAGACACGGTGTACTCAAGGGATACCTCTCTTCCTGGAGATGGCATGGAGATCTCTAAAAGACACACATCCATACATAGTCATAATGAAGTATATTAAATGTAATTTTTTTTTTAAAAAACTGACATATTATTATAAAAATTAATAAGAAAAAATTCAAATAATATTTAGAAAACTAACTTCATTTTTATTTGCAAACCTTTGTCCTCTTTTTTTTTTTTTTTTTGCCTTGTTTTTATAATGGTTCCATGACCTTCCAAGTATGGGAGCCCAGTACTGGGTGCCCAATATTTCAACACCTTTTTTTATTCTCCACACCTTTCTCCACCTCCCCAGTCATCGCCTAAGTGCTCAGTGCCTAAGGGTGCTCATGATTTCCCTCCCCCCTCTGCCATGCGTCCCTTTAATCCCTCACATAGCTCTTGTATCATCTCACTTTTCTTTGGTCTACCTCAATTCATACTGCAGAGAAAACTCTCCTCAAAGTACATGTACTAGCACATTTTAAAAAGTCTCTGATAATTGCACATCATGCACTTTTTATGTGATTTTCAAAGCCCACTATGACAATAATACAATCTGATTTCTCAAGCTCTTTCCCATTTCTCCCCTCCATGTACTTTTTGCTTTGAACAAAAAGGTTCCCCTGCGTCTGTGCTTTTGCTCACGCTTGAATTGTCCCCTAGCCTCTTCTCTGCCTGCTCCTTCAACGTCATGTTTCCAAGAAACTTACCCTAAGCCACCAACCCTAAACACTTGGTCAATGGCACCACTTTTTCTAGCACAGACCTTCAGCCTGATAAAACTCAGATTTCTGTAGGCAAAATGACGTCCCCTCCCAAAGCACCCAACCCAGTGGCACAAACACGGTGGACTCTCAGGTATTTGCTCCCTCCCTGATGCCCTTTTCTTTTTCTTTGCAGTGGCACCGCCCCCCTATAGTTACAACCATGAGATGGACTACTGTGCAGAACTGCCTCCTCCCTACTCGCCAGCCCCGCCAGCTTCAGCACAGCGTTCCCCACCCCCGCCTTATCCTGGACATTCACGGAAATAATCCTTCTCCTGGAAGAGAATATGCGCAGCCACAGATCTTGCCCTGAATAAAATGCCTCTCCTCCGAAACAGACAGGAATGGATTGCTGCAAGGAACAGTCCTTTGGGTCAAACAAGGTTTCCAGTGGAACGGCCGGGCTAAGAGACACAGAGTTTTCCACCCTTCTCAGAGCGGACCCCATCTGGAGCACGGTGTTAGGTTCGATGGAACCCCTTGGAAGAGATGTACTGATCAACCTAAGCGCATTTGGAGGAGGGTAGGGAGACAGACAGATGATCTGAAAATGGTGTTGCATAAGGAAATTGCAATACTAATCCAAAGAACAGATGTATATAAGACAGGAAGTAGCCTGGACTACATAAAGAAGCCACTATATCCTATATTCCATGTAGCTTTAAGAGTCAGAACTAGAACTGTTCATTCTTTCGTTCATCAAGAAATGCTGATCACGTGAGTGAGAGCCTACTCTGTGCCTTATACTGTTGGAAGCACTGGATGGAGGTGACAGGAACTTTGGTTTCAGTGTGAGAAAGAGCAGTTGGGGCTTTTGTGAAGTGCCCTGTTACGGAGACTTCAAACGGAACCTGGCTGGCTGGCTGTTAGGGTTAGCTAAATCAAATGGTTGAAGGGTCCCGGGGCCCTCAAAGTTCTGCTCGTGTTATATATAGGTGTGGGGTAAATCTGTATGCCTCCAAAAAAGAAAACTACTGGAATAGTTGAATCGTAACCATTTAATTCGAGAGTTAACAGGGGATCAAAGGGATTCCAAGTTGCTTGAAGCCAAGAACTCTTCAATGCTAGCTACTGCCACCTAAAAACCATCTGACTTTAATTAGTGTATTACGACAAAGGTTATTCCAGTGGTGAACAAAAGGGAAATCTCTCAAGTTCCACAAGCAACAAATTCTTCACTTCAGAGTAAAAGATTAAAAGCCGAATATTTCCATTTTATGACAGGAAGTAAAATCTCAGAACTTGACCATGAAGATATACAAGTTTACAAAAAGAAGAAGAAAAAATGAAGTTTGGATTCTGTTCTGTGGAATTCCATTTATACATAGTTTGGATAAATTTCTGTTTCTCTTTTGTGATATTTTGATCATCTATTCCCTTGAAAAGGTTACAAAGTTAATGGAAAAGTTAAGATAGCAACATCAAATTGTTGCCTCATGCCAAAATCCAAATGTTATGAAGTGCCTATCTTTAGGTGTAAAAGTTGTTAATTAATAATTCTAATGTGCCATATTTTTGCTGCAAGTGACCTTAACATTTGTATTTTTATGTCGGACATTTCATGTATTTAAAATTTATACTGAGAAAATATTGGGAATAGATGATTAAATTGTTGTATCACTTTACAATTAAATCTAAGATGTTTAATCCAATATTCTTATCAGGTTTCAGTGAAATCCCAAAACAATGCTAAGAATTTTGCTGAATAAAACAAACAAAAAAATGCCTTAAGGTATCAATTATAGTTCCCATTCTTATAGTTAGAAAAGGTAGTAGCTAATATAAGTAGCATATTTTACTTACATGCGCACTGATCTGACTGAAATATGGTAAACTACCCGCGAGATCTAAACACTAGATGTATTTTAAAGACGTGTTTGGTTTCAAGCACTGATCATTTATGAAGACGCAGCGCGTTCAAGAGTCTCAGCCTCTTATAGTGCCTGTGATTTCAGCACGGTTTTAACGACAGAGCTGTAATCCATCTGTCTGCTGCCAGTGTGATCAGACCCAGTCACACTGTCGCTGTGCAGCTCCGTGCCAGGGTCTCTGTGACTTTCAGAATGTTGGCTGCAAGCACACCATATATTTCTTAAGAAAAACGAAGAGAAAAAGACCAGTGGAAATTGAATTCTCATCATCTTCGCTGTCGATAAACATTTATTACATACCTCCTCTGTTCTGCAAACATTACCCACATAGGAGCCATTTCCGTCCACACCGTCTCTCTTCTTGGAGTCGTTTTATGGCCTCCCATAAGATATGTCACAAACCCACAGACCTACAATGGACGACTGTTTTTATTATTTGCATTTAGTGTCACAGTAGCATAAATGTGCACATCATCAGGATAGACTCCTGGAGTTCACTGAGTGTTTTCATAGATGATACGTCTTGGAGGAATATAGTATATGTCGTGAAAGCTTTGAATTATGGTTATTTAAAAACTAATGTATTTGCCGAGGCCAACATGTTTACAATAAGCAGTAAAATGAAACAACCCATTATAATAAGGGTTATATTTTCATTGTCTTGTGTCCACTTTGTTTCACCCTCCCTTCCTACTAACGTGGCCTCGTTCTTCTGTACAGGAAACACAGGACTGGAGCCAGACAGACTTGACTTTGAATCCTGTCTCCTCCTGCTATGATGTAAGACAGACCACTTCATCTCTCTAAAATGCAACTTGCTGCTCTGGAAAACGTCAATCACAGAATGGGCTTCATCGGGTTTTGTGAAAATTGGACGGATACATGCAAATCTCTAAGTATGGCGCCTGGCACATAGAAAATGTTCTGTTTATATAAGCCAAAAATAGATTGACAAAAGAATTGCATAAGGATGACAGCCTCTGGGACCGTGCTAGCCAACACATTAGCCACCAGTTGCATATGGTTATTTAAATGTAAATGAATGAAAGTTCAAATAAATGGCAGATTCAGTTCCTGGGTTTCACTAGCCACATTTCAAATGCTATATAGCCTCACAGGGCTAGTGGCTACCTTACTGCGCAGTGCTGTTCTAGAAAACTCTATGCAAAATGCAATGAGGCAGCCGGAAGGAGTTGGAGAAGCCCTACCATCATCTTGTCCAGGAGTGGACTTCGTCAGCTGATGGTGATGTCCTCCACCAGTACGTGTGAAGAGGCCCTTGCTCTGGTAGTAAGGCTGTGATCTGCATGAGAACCCGTGAGCAATGAGAAGCCCACTCCAGACCCAGGGTGGGGAAGCTATTACAAGAGCTGAAGAGCTGAATCTAGATTAGAGACCATGGACCTGGCCCAGAAGCTGATGAAACAGAACCACAGCCTGTCTCAGAGCCTAATCAATTCTGCAGCTGCCCTGCTTAGCCCTAGAAGCCGTGACAGGGGTACTAAGGGACACTGACACCTTCCTAAGTTGTGGCACTGTGGTATGCTCTTCTTTGATCTCATAATCTTTTGATCAAACCCATTTTGCCAACTGTGTGCTGTTGCTGAGGTAGGGCCCAGCACACTGCCAGATCCTCAGTCAGAACCTGGTTGAAACGAGCAAGTTTAAGTTTCTAATTACATAGCCCGAGGCGCAAGCAGTATAGCTGAACTTGACGGAGTATGTCCACTGCCCTTCTGGTCCAACCTGACAGTGTGGCAAGCAGACAGAGCACAGAGTGAGAATGTGTCGGGACCTCCAGAAAGAAGAGGTGACATAACCAGCTTTAAAAAGATCTTACAGGTGACTCTGATGGACACGTTAGCCCCAATCTGGCCCTTGCCTCTTAGACTCATTAATGCAGAGGAAAGACCTAAGGCTTCGGAATAAGAGAAACTTGGGTTTCTCTCCCACTCCTGTCACCTTCTAGCTATGTGTTCTGAGCCAGATAACTGAGTTTTCATGATCTCAGTCTATTCGAAATATGCGAACACCACCACCGTTGGCAGGTTGTTGCAATGATGGTAAACAGTAAGGGTAGAACATCTGTCATAAGGCTTCTGTCTGGGTTGTGACTCAGACAGACACAAATACATACACTCTTCTCTTTCCAAACCCTGTAGCCCCGTTTCCAAGCCTTACCACTTCTATAAGCAAGTGTAGTAGTGATTCATTGCTGTGTAACAAATTACCTAAAAGCTCTGTGGCTGGAGAAAACGACATCTATTATCTCAGTTCCCACAGAACCTGGAATCCAGGTGTCAGTTAGCTGGGTCTTCCAGCTCAGGGACTCAGGCTGCAGGCGCCTCAGTGTGCGACCACGGAAGGAGCTTCCTCCAAGCTCACTGGCGTGCATGGCCATTGACCAGATTCTGTTCTTCGCAGGGTGTTGGACTGCAGGCCTTGTTCCCTCTGGCCGGAGGCCAGAGCCCACCCTCAGTTCCTTACCATCTGGGCCTCTCCGCAGGGCACTCCAGAAATGTCAGCTTGCTTCCCCAGAGCAAGAAGCAAACAGAGCATGGCGTGAGAGAGTGTGCCAGCGGAACATGGCGCTGGCAAGAGGGGGCACAGGCTTCTAAAACCCAATCTTGAACGTGGCAGCTCATCACTTGTGCTACATTCTATTTCTTAGAATCAGGTCACTACGTCCAGTTTGCACAAAAGAGGAGAGTTTTACACCAGCGCACAAATACCGGGAGGCAAGAGCATCAGGTGCTGTCTCAGTAACCAGCCTAACATCACAGGGATATCTCGTCTCTCCCCTGGAGTCTATTATTACAGTGCAGGCCACCTCTCCTCTAACGGGTTTGTACCAACTCGACAGCTGAAAGAGTCCAAGGACCATGCTTGACTGTGGTCAAATTGCTTTTAGTGAGCTGATGGGTAGGCGGAGCCAGCATCCTTCACGGGGCCGTGCTAACTGGGTAAGTGCTGCATCCCTGAGGGATATTGAAGGTGACACAGAGCATTTGTGTTTCTCATGAACCTCACTTCATGAGCTTCACCAAAGCACCTTGCATTTGGCAAAGAACGTAGTATACCGCACACCTTATAAACAAGTCTTTACGTGGTCTCAGGTCCTTCCAAGGCATGTAATCTTCAAGAAAAGAATTCCAAAGCAAGCTTCCAGATGGGTGGCTCAAGCTGCTACTGAACCTAGTCCTGAATACCTTCCCTGAAGATGGAAAACACATCCGAGGCGACATTTGAACTGCAGAAACACCTGCTGGGAATGTTGGCCTCCTCTGGATGCACTAAGCATAATTGGTTTTTAAAAAATCGTTCGAGGTCAGACTCTTTGATTCCTATTTCTGCTCCGTTCCCCTGTTCTCCCGCAGTCACAAGCAGCTTCTGAGCGTGTGCCTCCTGCCACTGCTCAGAGAGAAGGGAAGGCAGGAGAACCACTTTCCGAATCGCGTCTGATCGTGGGCGAGCCGTGACGAGGAGCGCTCGTGGTTTCCGAGGCCTGAAGGACGGGTCATTTACACTTGTTTCTGATGAAAATCCAAGAAGAACCAAGGGATCTGATCTTCCCATGTTTGCATCTTATTGGGAGGGTCTTCATTACCGCACATCT